CACATCACATCCAAGGGCAATGCTGTTAACCACATACAGTATATGTTACAGCACGTGTGTGTGTGTGTGTGTGTGTGTGTGTGTGTGTGGCGGTAAACACGTACAGGTCATGAGTGGTGTGACTAACTGCATGAACTCCGGTGTTACAGTATGTGGTAACGCTCACTCCACGCCGTGAAGATACGCATGTAGGTGGGTTGGGCATGGTATGATGGTCACACACACACACACACACACACACACACACACACACACACACACACACACACACACACACACACACATTCATTTATTCATTCATGGGTAAAGTAAGAAGAAAATCAAACACATCCACAAGCTACCACACTTATTTCCACCACAACACCTCAGTCGCCGTTTGTTGCTCAGGGTCCCTAGAAGCAGCTGAAGCAACATAGCAACAAGTCTCTCTATGACAACATAAGCTTCTTCAAAACACAGCTGAGATTGAACTATAGGACCATGTAATACCCTGCCAAGCTTCACTAGGTCGATATTAAATAATGTTAGAGCAAAACTTAAAGAACTGATGTGGTTCGTCCTTCAGAAGTCCTCCTCGTTAGTCCCCAACATCAGTCACTTTTCTGACGATGTTGTGACAGAGATTTCCTAGGTTAGACTCTATCAATCTCCCGGTTACTGTAGAGGAGCTTAAAATCCTGTGACAAGCGTTCCATCACACTCGTTGTTCTTCAGACTGCAGAAGAATTCATACCTCGTCACCCACTGTCCCGTTAGCCCTCCTGTAGAAGCGATATCCTTCAGTAGCTCTCTCAGTCATTGACCTCATCAAGGCTCTCAAACTTGTATTCCCCGAAAGTATTGTCTCTTGGTTTGTGAATATCGGTTAGGAATGTCGTCAGGCTGTCTAGTATCGATAGCCCACACCCTACTTTCTGTAATTCACCTGTGGAGTTCCTCAAGGGGCGAGAATGGACCCTCAGTGACTTATCCATCCACCGGAAAAACACTTTGAAGACCCTCGACACAATCTTCTGAACTAAACCATGGCCACCAGTCAGGTCAACCTCCACTCAGGCAGTCGTAACTTCCAGCCGTATTGTAAAGTTTATAAATCCCCGAGAAATTTTGCTACAGATAAAGTGTATTGGAAAGTCCACGTCAACAACGTAATGAAACGTGCTAGTTATTACCCCACCTGCTGAGGCGGCTGAACATACACACTGGGATTTCCACCACTCCAGCTAAAACAAAAACAAACAAAACATCCACACCATCTTGAGGTGGCTGAGACAAACACACGTGCACCTCACCTGTCTGGATGGGCCTTCTCCTCTCAACTCCTGCAGGAGAAACAAAAGAGAGCTACAAGATCCTTCTCAACTGCCTCAATTATCACTTTGTATAATATTTTAATTATTTCTAACCAACAAACTCTTTAATAATGTTAATATCTTCTTGGACATCACACGTATATTTTTTTTTATTTTTAGTATTCTTTTGTAAATTTAATTCACTGTTTAAATTATTAGGCTTTGGGTACAGAGTCGTCAATCAAGCGTTAATAATAGTAGTAGTAGTAGTAGTTATAGTGTTGTTGTTGTTGTAGTAATATTATCACCATTATCAGAAATATTAACCTGTACATAATAATATTCACACTCATACTAACATCCTACAGAGGGCGGGAGGCAGGAGGTTCACTTACTGATAATATACATGACACTAACCACGTTTTATTTACCGCGTAGTATGTGACGTGCTTGGGTGTGCGTCTTACAAGCTGAAGGTGGTAGTAGAATCCTGGTGGTGGGTGGGTGGGTACTGGGTGGGTCAGTGGGTGGGTACTGGGTGGGTCAGTGGGTGGGCCCTCCTTTGATTACGTGTGTTTAGCTTCTCCCACTTATTTTTCTTCCTCGTTGAACTGGTTTTAATTTTGAGGTTTATTATTTCGTTTTTATTCTATTTTATTTGATTTTATTTTTTATTGACAATTTTATTTTGTTTTTTATTGAATGTTTCGTTGGATACTTTTTTTTTTGGGGGGGTTTGTTGATTCTATTTTGACCTTAGTTATAGTTATTGGTTAGGTTAGGTTAGGTTAGGTTAGGTTAGTTTAGTTTAGTTTAGTTTAGTTTAGTTTAGTTTAGTTTAGTTTAGTTTAGTTTAGTTTAGTTTAGTTTAGTTTAGTTTAGTTTAGTTTAGGGTTTAGTTTTTAGGGTTTTAGGTTTTAGGTTAGGTTTAGTTTAGGTTAGTTTAGTTTAGTTTAGTTTAGTTTAGTTTAGTTTAGTTTAGTTTAGTTTAGTTTAGTTTAGTTTTGGGTTTAGTTTAGTTTAGTTTAGTTTAGTTTAGTTTAGTTTAGTTTAGGGTTTGGTTTAGGTTGGGTTAGGTTGGGATTGCAGGTTGGGTTGGGTTGGGTTGGGTTAGGTTGGGATAGGTTGGGTTGGGTTAGGTTGGGTTAGGTTGGGTTAGGTTAGGGGTTGGGTTGAGTTAGTTTAGTTTAGTTTTAGTTTAGTTTAAGGTTTAGTTTAGTTTAGTTTAGTTTAGTTTAGTTTAGTTTAGTTTAGTTTAGTTTAGTTTAGTTTAGTTTAGTTTAGTTTAGTTTAGTTTAGTTTAGTTTAGTTTAGTTTAGTTTAGTTTAGTTTAGTTTAGTTTAGGTTATTAGGTAAAAATTAATTAGAATAACTTGTTTGAAAAAAAAATTGTTGGCTATAACAGAAAGAGGAAGAGAGAGAATGGAGTATGAAATAATGAGAAAATGTAATAAAACAAGAGAGAGAGAGAGTGTCATGAGTAACTAGAAACACAATGTGAATCATAAATAGAAAGGAAAAATTTTTTGTAACTCCTCCTTCTCTTCCTCCTCTTCTTCTTCCTCCTCTTCTTCTTCCTCCTCTTCTTCTTCCTCCTTCTCTTTTTCCCCCTCTTCCTTCTCCTCCTCCTTTTCTAGAAACCTCACTACTGGCTGTCACACATCCTCTCTCTCTCTCTCTCTCTCTCTCTCTCTCTCTCTCCTCTCTCCTCTCTCTCTCTCTCTCTCTCTCTCTCTCTCTCGTGCTAGTGTTGTATTTCCTAGACCGTGTATGTATTTTCACGTGTCTGTGTTGAATTTCCTAGATGTTACATGTAGGTTAGGTTAAGTTAAGTTAAGTTAAGTTAAGCTAAGTTAAGTTAAGTTAAGTTAAGTTAAGTTAAGTTAGGATGAGACACACCTCGTCAGGACATTTTTTTCCTACTGGTTTATCTTCTTGTCATATATAGTTTCGTGTGTGTGTGTGTGTGTGTGTGTGTGTGTGTGTGTGTGTGTGTGTGATAATAATAATAATAATAATAATAAACGGTTTATTAATAGATTTGCATCCGGTGGCTGAAAATATACAGACTTACATTTGATTTAGACATAATGATATAATATGCATTGAATACATTTACAGGGCTGTACAGTACATAAATCAGGAGTTGTTTATTATTTTAACAAGAGATGGGATGGTGCTGTTCTTATATCTATCGGTGCGGGCTCTAATGGGCTGAATTTTGTTGTAGTGGCGGACTACGCCAGTTGGGTGGGGGGCTGCCTGCGGCAGGAGGTGGCGATGGCGAGGGTGGTGCAGTAGTCCACTGCCAAACCTTTCCAGTGCTTGGTGGTGGAGGTCACTGAGGGATGGCATTTCCAGGGTGGAGAGAGCGTTGGTGTAGCCGGAGTATTCTGTGTGTGTGTGTGTGTGTGTGAGAGATTCAGAGAGATGAACGATAATAATGAATGAATGAATACACACACACACACACACACACACACACACACACACACACACACACACACACACAAACAAACAAACAAACAAACAAACACCTCAGTAGGAGGATACAAAAGAATTATATACTGTTAAGATTAAAATTTATATATAATACTGTACATCATCCCACTCTTCCCTCTCTCCCCACTCTCCACTCCCTCTCTCACCCCCTTCTCTCCACTCCCTCTCTCCCCCTCTCCCCCCCTTTTAACCTCCCATTCCTCACCCTCCACTCTATTTCTCTCCCCTCGATCCCTCTCCCTCTTCTCCCTCTCTCTACTCCCCTCTCCCTCTTCTCCCTCTCCCCTCTTTCCCCCTCTCCATCCCTTCCCCCTCTTCTCCACTACATTTCTCCCCCTCGCTCCCCCCTCTCCTCCCTTTCTCCCCACTCTCCCCACTTTCCCCTCTCCCCCACTTCCCCACCCCCTCTCCTCCCCCTCTCCCACGACTGTAGAGAATCAGCTAGTTGGTACCTTGCCTTGTTAGTGTGTTAGGTGAGCCAATCAGGCACCTCGACTCACTGCTCAATGGTCGCCAGCAATTGTTGATGTGTGCGTGACTGAGGGCATGGCTTGACCTACCTACTCTCTCTCTAACACAGGCTCCCAATGCCATGTTCAACCCGTTCGTGATACTTGTAATAATAATAATAATAATAATAATAATAATAATAATAATAATAATAATAATAATAATAATAATAATTAACGGTTTATTGATAAAGTTCTGGGTGGGTCGTTTAACAAAAGGTTCCATTACTGAAAGGAGAAGGAAAATGAACTGAACATACAAATTATTATAGTTTGCTGCTGATGGCCCAGGCTGGTCTCTTGCCATACTGTGTGAGGTCACAAAGGCCTCGTGGTGCAGTAACTCATCCGTAGGCGTTAAGATGAAGGACCTCACGTAGTCATGGGGACACCGTGGTGTGTGGGGTGGTGTCACAGTACTTCACTCTCTCTGCCAGGTGGTGTTGTGTTATCTCGTGTGTGTGTGTGTGTGTGTGTGTGTGTGTGTGTGTGTGTGTGTGTGTGTACGATAGATAGATGAAGACCATGTAGTATATATTTATGTATATTTAATCTTTGTTAATGTATAATATGTTCTATATAGTAATGTATACAGTATATCATGTATATTAATTTATATATAATGTATGATAATGTATATGTAATGTATATTGATGCATTTTGATGTATTTTAGTAACTGTATATGTCACTCAACAGGGGGTGCTGTGGCTGAGTGGCTACAGCGCTCACTTAACCTATTCCAAGGTCTCTGGTTCGATCCCAATGCACTCAAACGATACCCGCTGGAGTGCCAACCTGTGAGTGATATCAAGTACACTGTTGGCACCATGCACTCATTAATCTTGTGGCACCATAGACTCATTAAAGCTTTGTGGCACCATAGCCTCATTAAAGCTTTTGTGGCACCATAGACTCATTATAGCTTTTGTGGCACCATAGACTCATTATAGCTTTTGTGGCACCATAGACTCATGAAAGCTTTTGTGGCATCATTAAAGCTTTTGTGGCACCATAGACTTATTATAGCTCTCTGGCACCATATATATTATACCTCAAGTTATGGTGAATTTAGTGTATAGTGAATGGACTGCATACATCGCTAAACCAAACACAAATGGTTCATGGTGTATGGTGTATAATATTGTATTTTATGTATAGTATATATTGTATTTACTCCTTGGAATAATGTCTATGTCCTCAGTTGTATAGTTGTATAGATTACTTGGAGTGTATAGCGTGAGTGTGTATTTTTTGGTGGGTATATCGAGCATTATGGTCTCGTAAGTATTGTGTATTAGTGTATATCTACACCTTAAGACACCAATGACGTAGAGTCGTGTATACAAACTGTCACCACCGGAAGTAAGTATGCTGTATAAATGTATAGAGTATGATGTATTTCCCAGTCCTCTCACAAAAAAAAATCCTTTCCGCATTCACTAACGTTCTAAAGGTCATTATTCTGCGTAAGTGAAGGTATAAAATGGTACTAAACTAATTGACTAACTAAACTAATTGACCTAACCTAACCTCCCTCAAAAGTTTTCATCGTAAAATATCGTCAAAATTGTCCTGAGGTTCTCATTTGATCGAGTGTTGTTTGGTGGTATGAGTTACGTGATATAATGAAGGTAGTGTGTGAGTGAGTGTCGGGAAACTGTTATCTCGTGGCTTTAGATCCGCTAAACACGACTTACTTCCTCAGAAACCATACCACTTTTTTTTGGGGGGGGGTAGTCACAGTCACCAATTAGATCTCTTCCGACAAATACCTGATTACACAAATCTCGTGAGTGTGAACGTAAAAGTGTTAGATCCCCTGTCTCCTCCTGAGTGCGGAAGTTTATCATATATGGTTGTTACTACTAAAAGGCGAGTAGCTGGCACCCCCTCCACCACCCCCTCAAGATGATATATGAAGTGGTATACCCTTGAGACACCCCCCCCATGTTGGTGTATGTATGTCCTGCAAGTTCTCTGACGCCCACCCACCCCGCCCGCCCACTCCCCACCCACCAAAACCCGAGACGTAGTTCCGGGTTTCATAAAAGTCATTGCTGGAGAGGAGGTACAGTAGATGTGTCTAACCTCAAGATAGTGGTATTAAAAAAAATGGATCTTCTACGGGTATGTGTTAATCCATACTCGTTTCTTTACCTGCCTAGTGTGTGGTGTAATGATGTAGGTGGTGGATGAGGTGGATTATTTTCTGGATGTGTGTGTGTTTCTCTCTCTCTCTCTCTCTCTCTCTCTCTCTCTCTCTCTCTCTCTCTCTCTCTCTCTCTCTCTCTCTCTCTCAGCAGTAAACCCTTCACCATTATAGCGGAAACTGATAATAAATTTTTAATCTTCAGGAAGTTAGTGTCTTGAGATAAGAACCGAGACGCCACCTGACACTACATGACACAACACCACACCACACCACACCACACCCACACCCACACCCACACCACACCACACCACACCACACCCACACCCACACCCACATCACACCACATCACACAATACCAAATTAGTATAAGTGTGCTAGTTTTCCGCTGTAAAAACTAGACCTCACGTAACTATGCCATCATGTACTATCGTGGACAAAAGTTTGCTCCTTCCCAAACTGAAGCAGTATCGACCCGCACAGCACACCCGCACTAGATAACAATCAGGGTAAGTCAGTTCGGAGACTCATTCTCGTGTCTCAGTTTCACTACAGGGAGCGAACTTTTGTCCACGATAGTACAGTATTTTTTTCCCATTGACTCGTTTTTTTTTCCTTAACCACTGTTTTTAGGGGAAATAAAGTAAGAATGTGTGAGAATCTTTCTTTTATTTATGGCTGTGATACAGTGAGACTTTTTTCCTGGGTCTAGTTTTACTAAACTCTGAGAATCTTATTTTGTTTGTCCTTTTATGTCGTATAAGTGAGTCAGTTTGAGATAATCTTACATTGAAACCCACAATTCTTACGTCATAATTTAAGTGAACTGGTTAGGTTAGGGAAGGTTTGGTTAGGTTAGGGAAGGTTTGGTTAGGTTAGGTTAGGTTAGGGAAGGTTTGGTTAGGTTAGGGAAGGTTTGGTTAGGTTAGGTTAGGGAAGGTTTGGTTTGGTTTGGTTAGGGAAGGTTTGGTTAGGTTAGGGAAGGTTTGGTTAGGTTAGGTTAGGTTAGGGAAGGTTTGGTTAGGTTAGGGAAGGTTTGGTTAGGTTAGGTTAGGTTAGGTTAGGTTTGGTTAGGTTAGGGAAGGTTTGGTTAGGTTAGGGAAGATTTGGTTAGGTTAGGGAAGGTTTGGTTAGGTTTGGTTAGTTAGACTTGTGAGTTAGAGTTGTTCTTTCACTTGAAGTTAAGGGGAAATATTAACCCAAGAACTACTGAAGACATATCTTAGGCCTCACGAATATTAGGAACACCTGTTTAGTGCACCTGGGGATTAAATACCCTAATGCAAACTTAACCAAATATAATCTAACATAACCAAATATAATCTAACATAACCAAATATAATCTAACATAACCAAATATAATCTAACTTAACCAAATATAATCTAACTTAACCAAATATAATCTAACTTAACCAAATATAATCTAACTTAACGTAACATAACATATCCTAACGTAACGTATCCTAACGTAACCTAACCTAACCAAATAAACTAAGTAAACTTAACCTAACTAAACCTAACCACCAGACAACCCCATTAGTACTGTTATCGTCATTTCACTAAACTAGACAAGAGGGAATAAGAAATTACTTATAAAAAAATGAAATTCCAGCTTTAATAAGTTAGTGAAGTCAGGGATTTAAATATAATCTTACCTGCAATTTAAAGGAAAAAAATTAACTAATGAAGATTTCTGTTTGTTACTACGTATGGGAACTGACGCATTCCAGTACTGGTGGTGTGTGTGTGTGTGTGTGTGTGTGTGTGTGTGTGTGTGTGTGTGTGTGTGTGTGTCATCGGTAATGGCATTGTTGATTGAAGAAACTCTCTCTCTCTCTCTCTCTCTCTCTCTCTCTCTCTCTCCTCTCTCTCTCTCTCTCTCTCTCTCTCTCTCTCTCTCTCTCTCTCTCTCTCTCTCTCTCTCTCTCTCTCATAAGTCATCAAAATGTTACTTCCGAGGGATTAGTGAATAGTGTGGATGAATGCTGTTGGTAAGAGGTGGATGGTGTGGATGTGGGTGTGAGCTGGATGTGGGATGGATGATGTAAGTGAGGATGGCTATTGAGATGGATGGGGGTTGATTTGTCTGGATGGGAATGGATGATTTACTGAAGTGGATGGTAGATAAATGTAGTGTAAATGATAGTAAGTGGATGTGGATGAAACAAGTTCGTGGAAGAATATTACATCCATATAGATAGCAAGATAACATAAATGCGTATTGAGAGAGATAACATATGTGCGTATTGAGCGAGATAACTTATGTGCGTATTGAGGAAGATAACATATGTGCGTATTGAGCGAGATAACATATGTGCGTATTGAGCGAGATAACATATGTGCGTATTGAGGAAGATATCATATGTGCGTATTGAGGAAGATAACATATGTGCGTATTGAGCGAGATAACTTATGTGCGTATTGAGGAAGATAACATATGAGCGCATTGGAAGAGATAACATATGTGCGTATTGAGGAAGATAACATATGTGCGTATTGAGGGAGAATACATATGTGCGTAGTGGGAGAAATAATGACATAATGTAACACACTGGAAGCATAACGGCGTAAATCAACTGAGAGGAGGTGTGTGTGTGTGTGTGTGTGTGTGTGTGTGTGTGTGTGTGTGTGTACCGTGGAGGGGCGGCAGAGATTCACTACCACTTGTCTATCAAAACAACATCTCCGGGCCATGAATCAATCAGACGGGCGCCATCAGGTTGCCTTCCTCCCCTCCCCGTAGTTCAGCCATCAGCTTACGAAAGGCGGTGAGGAGGAGGAGAGGAAGGGTAGGAGGTAATGGGGGGGGGGAGGGGGAGTAAGGGGGTTGTATTTTCACTTCCCGTGGCCAAATAAGCTGGGCCTGATCTTGATCTTCAAAGGTCAGTTCCTTCTTAAGATACTTCGTGGGGGGGCGGGTGTCAATGCGGATACTCACTCACTCACTCACTCACTCACTGCCGGATACAGGTAAAGATTTGTTAAGGGGTGAAGCTGTTGGTATGTGTGGGGGGGGCGGTCCATGGTGCTTGTGCTTTATATTGTGAAGGGCTATCATCATCATTATCATCATAATCATCATCATCATTATAATCGTCATCATCATCATTATAATCATCATTATTATAATCGTCATCATCATTATTATCATCATTATTATAATCGTCATCATCATCATTATAATCATCATTATTATAATTGTCATCATCATTATCATCATTATAATCGTCATCATCATCATTATAATCGTCATCATCATGATCATCATTTTGCTGCCATTTTCCAAGATTGCGTGAATGGCAATGATGATGACAATGATGATGACAGATAATAATGATGATGATGATGATGATGATGATGATGATGATGATGATGATGACGACATTTATTACCTATAAGTTACTTTTTTAATTACCTGAAAATTAGTCACCCTAAATTATTTCACCTGTAGATTATTATTAAACCATCTTAACGTTACCTGTGGGGATGGGGTCAGGTCAGGTTAGGTTAGGTTAGGTTAGGTTAGGTTAGGTTAGGTTAGGTTAGGTTAGGTTAGGCTAGGCTAGGCTAGGCTAGGCTAGGCTAGGCTAGGTTAGGGTAGTTAATCTTCAGGTGAAACAAATTAAGTTGCATAATCTTCAGTTGAAC